TATATATATATATATATATATATATATATATATATGCTAAAAAATAAAACATCAAAAAAAGGAGACATTGGGTTTGAGAAAGTGAAAAGCTATTGTGATGGATAAAACCTAGATGCTAAAAGGTTGTAGTAACAAACTCCTGTCTAAACCATCTGGAGACCCTGGGGGAACACCAATTTCTCCTGAGCATCACAGGTCCAGGCAAGAACCATTTTTTAAAGAGATTTATTTATCTTTAGTTTTATGTATTTGGTTCTTTGGCCTGCATGCATGTCTGTGCACCATGTGCATACCTGATGCCTCTCAGAGACCAGAAGAGGTCACCTAGATAAGTAGCCAGGGCTTTTAACAACTGAGCCTCCTTCTAGCCCCATAAAAATTTTGTTAGGAGTTTCAACTCATGGGCCAGAGAGATGGTTGAGTGACTAAGAGTATACACTGCTCTTGCAGAGGACTGGGGTCTGGTTCCCAGCCCTGACATGGCAGCTCACAACTCTGTAACTCCAATTCCAGGGGATCCAGTGTCTTCTTCTGGCTTGCGTGAGGACTAGGCATGCCCATGTCTCAATACATATTTGTAGATAAGCACTCATTAATCTCAAGAGTTTCAATCTAATTCACACACTTGCCTCTGTCATGGCTTCCCTTATGTTTATTTATATCACTATTTATTTATCTATCACCTTTCTTTAAATCTAGTAAATTATTATGTATTGATTATTATTTATGTGTCTTTGTAAATTCAGTATCATTAAACGGATTTTTCAAGTAGAAAAAAAAAAAGAAAAAAAAGAAACTCTCTTTGGCATTCCTATGACCATATAAGGTTTAGAAAGCATCTTGTCTTGTCAGGTCCAAGACAAGCAAATAGATAAGATATTTTCTGGAAAGAGGTCAGGTAAGGCCTTGTACTCCAAACAGAAAATAAGCAGACATTAACTTGTTCTGCAAATGTAGTTCAGGTTGTGAAAATACCTGAAAGCTACTGAGATAGTGGTGGAAGAGTGCAGCAGATGTTTGATTAATAAACAGGTTCATTTTGAAGTCCCATAATATGCAAAGAATACAGAAAGATGTAGACTGAAACATAACCTATGAAACAAAGTCAGCAAGTAAGGTATTTCTCTTCCTTTGAGTACAAGAAAACTGACGATAAACATGGTGGTGCATGCCTATAATGGCCCCTACACCCACATCTCATTAGCTTGCTCTTTCGGTCAACTGAAAGGAAACCAAGAAGAGTGGACCTGAGATGGACCAGAGCTCCATGCTCTAGACACTATAAAGGCCATGCACAGACAGCATGAGGCTTCTGAGTGCTGACTTTCTTAGCACCCCAAGGACAGTGTTTCTAAGGATCCTCACCACTTCCCATATCCCAGACAGATGTGTTTGCAATTACCCGATCTCCAGGAGAAGGACTGTCATCCAAATTATTGAGGGCATTTTCCACACGGGCCAGGCGGCCTGACAGAGATAGCAGGAGGTTCACCACTTTATCCAGGTCCCCAATGAACATCCGGAACTTGTCAAACTCATTGGGTTTGCAGACATCTTTCACAATAGCTTCCACCTCATCCCCCAGAGCATTATTGGCTTGGATGTCCTCCAACAGGCTTTCACGGGCTTCCCGGAGTACCTGGAGCTTGCGGCTGATACTGTCAATGAGCTCTTGCTGTAGGGCACAAGGAGGCATAAGGACACTTGTTAGAATGATCCCATGGTAGTGCCCTAAATTAGAGTAGGCAAATCATACACAGCCTGGGAAGAATTCAGTCAGATGGGGGGGGGTTAGTCTCTGTACCACCAAATAATGGGGGGATTTATAAAATCAGTGAGAGGAAGGCCTCCTGGTCAAGTATGAGCCTCCTCGTTTGTATGAGCCAAAGAGCTGGCTCAGCTGAGAAAGGTGCTTGCTGCCAAGTCTGATGACCTGAGTTCCATTTCTACAACCCATAAAGTGAAAGGAGAACCAACTCCCACCAGTTGTACTCAAACCTCCATTCATGTGCTGTGACATGCACACCCGCATGCCCACATGCACACTCATGTGCGCACACACTCAAAGAAATTAAATTATTTGTGGTAGAATATTATTTTAAGGAATGTGACTTTTGTTTATGCAGCATTTGTTTAAGAGACCACCCCCATCTTCCTTTTTAATTCCCAGAATCCAAAAGGTTACCATTTTCTACACTGAAAAGACTTGTTAAAATGTACAAACAGGTCATGATACTACCTCCCAAATGTTTCTAGCATAATTAACATCAATCTGTGCTATCTTTCAAATCACCATGTTGTTAGCAATAGATAATACTGTCCTTGCAGTGATTGTCATGGGAGCTACTTAACATGACTCTGAGGTAATTTCCAAACTTCTTTCCTTATTCATGATGCTGAAGCCTTGCTTTCTGCTGCTTCTCCCAAAGATAACCAAGCTCACAGCAAGGACATCTGTACCTGCTTCACCTTTCCCTAATATGGTACACATTTTTAGGGCTTGAGCCTGGCATCACTCTGGGTTTCTGCAATCACTGGTCCTTCTCCCTTTCTAGCCATTCACCCTATTCCAATTGTCTAATACCTGATGGAGTGTAACAAGGGTTGGCAAACTTGTCCCATTAGGTGCTAGAGAGTAGATATTTTACTCCTTGTAGGCTGCATGGTCAATAGCAGTAAAACCTATTCCCAAAAGCAGGTAGAGGGTCAGGAATACCAAGACTATGTTAGACATGTTTTTAATTTGGGGGTGTTGTGGCCATACACAATTACAATGAGAACACAAGGTCCCTTACAGAGGGGTTTCTTTCTCAAGTCTGCTGACACTTGGATCAACAAGCTTTGTAGAAGAGTTGGAAGATAATTAAGCATGAAGGGCTTATCATGCTGAACCATGTCTTGCATGAAAAGCAAGCAGAAATGTCTCAGAGATGTTATGTAAGATATCTGCTGGGGTGACAAAAGAGTGGTCCCACTACCTTTCACTGTCCCCGCATACAATTCTGAGAGGAGGTTTGTTTGTTTTTTAGTAATGTGTATTTTTTATAGTCCAATTCCACCTCTTCCTCCCTCTTCTCCTCTTGCTTCCCTTGTATCCCATCTTCAGTTTGCTCCTCGGAGAGGGTAATGTCACCCCCCCCCCCCGGGCATCTACTAAGTCTCTGCATCATCTTGTTGAGGCAGGACCAAGGCACCTCCCCTCACCCCGGTGTCGAGGTTGAGCAAGGGGGCTGTCTGTTTTTCTTTTATCTTTTTGAAGAAGGATCACATTGGGAATTCAGGTTGACCTTGAATTTGTTTTGCAGCACAGACTGATTCAACTTGTCACCCTCCGCCTCAGCCTTCTTAATGCTGGGATCACAGGAATGTTATCAACATGCTCAGTAGATAGGGGATTTTGTTTGCATAAAGGAAGGTCTTGCTATTTCTACCAGACTGGCCAGAATTCCTGGCCTTAGATGATTCTCTTGCCTAAGTCTCTTTAGTAGTGGTGAGTTGGAGGTACTGGGATGAGGTCTGATTCTTGCTTCTCCTTCTTACCTTCTTAACTGACAGGTCATGGTCCAAGTCACCCCCAGAATACTCCTCAGGCTCCTGTAGGTCCTTCATCTTGATAAGCAGTTCTGCCTTGGGGGCTGATGTGCTGTAATAGGTAGAATTGGTGGCCAAGGACACCACCCCTGGCACACCTGGGTCCTGTTTCCTGATTTAAGAGGCCAAAATTTTAATCAGCTGTGGCACATGCACACTCTTTGTACCCGACAAATGGCACTGATAGAAGGACAAGAGCCAGGGAGGTGAGAAAAAAACCCAAATCATTAACAACAAAAAAACCCAACTAATAATCACAAGGTTCACAGACTGCTATTTATTGCTGCCATTCTTTTCAGTAGTTAGGTTGGGAACTGTGGGGCTTGCTATGCTGTGCAAGTGCTCTCATACCCTGTTATGTCTGAAAACCAGGACCACAGTGATTTAATTTTTTCCTTGATTTTTGGTTTTTCAACAGGATTTTTCTGCAGCTATGGAGTCTGTCCTGGAACTCGCTTTGTATACCAGGCTGGCCTGGAACTCAAAGAGATCCACCTGCCTCTGCCTGATGAGTGCTGGGATGAAAGGTGTGTGCCACCACAGCCTGGCCAATGTTTTAATTTTTAAAAGTGTGTGTGTATGTTCTGTTGAATCTTGAGCTTATACTAGATACCAACTCCACAACCAGAGATGCAGAAAACAAAACTGAGTTTAGACATTGCCACATGGTCACATGTCTCTCATAGAAGCAAAATTGCTTTTCCCATCCCATCAGTGATTCAGATTAAATTCATGTCCTTATACATGGCAGGTAAGTACTTTAACTCTGAGATGAATCCTTGGCCCCTAGGTAACTGAAATTTAAACAAACAAACAAACAAACAAACAAAATCTGTAATGAAAGAAAATGCTGTTCAATATCACATCCTTAGGCTTCGTAATGCGAGTCAAAATTAGGTGAAAGACAGGCAGACAAAAGATACACAGATTCAATACTTGCAAAGATTACATGATAGATGTAGGACACATGTAAAATACCAGCTCTTAGGAATCTAAGGCCGGAAGACTTGGTGTTCAAAGCCAGTCTAGATAACTTGTCTCAAAAAAAAAAAATGGGTAAGGCCTATAGCTTGGTGATGACAAACTTGCCTAATATATATGAGGACCTGGGTTCTAGTTCAACATTTTCAAGAAGTCAGTATGAGGGAGATAGGCAGTTGTGGTGACATATTCCTATAACCCTTGGGTATAGGAAGCTGAAGTAGAAGGATCAAGTCCAAGGAAGCCCAAGCTTCATAGACAACCTACTTCAAAAACAAATGGATGGATGAAAACGCATGTGATACACATATTAAATATAGAGATTAGATGAAGGACACAACACAGTTGAGGGGGTTGATGGTTAGCCTCACACCAGCAGAGGGATTCTCAGGGCCAGCACTGACAGTATCTGAGGGCTGCCTCATAAACTGTAAGATATGTAGTAGTATCTGCTGCCTTTCCACTAGGTGTCAGGAGTGCTCCATTCTCCAGTGTAGCAAGTGAAATTAAAGAATGGCATTCCTAAAGGTCCCTAGAGAGGACATGTGGGTACTGCCATATCCAGTCCAGTTGTAAGGTAAGGACAGCAGCAGCAGCTCCAGTGGGTCTCACCTTGCCTCTGCTAAATTCCATGCAATCAAATCCAGGTATGATCATTTATAAACTTACCAAAAACTGCTAAGTACTGGGGACCCCAAGGAAAACCAGCACCTCTCTGCAGAAGCAATCACGAATATCAATACACCCCTAAGTCCCTTCTTTCACTTGTAAGCCCACAAGAGAGAGGGACTGAGGAACAAACATCCCATGGTGTGTGTCATCTACTCACTTGTCCTCTGTGACTCTGGGTGAGGGGACTTTGGGAAGCAGCTTCCTTCGCTGCTGAGCTTCCTCCAGGAGGTACTCGTCTTTGGGGAAAATTCCCTCCATCAGATCCATGGTTGTTTTGATCTTCACGCTGGGGTCCAGGATGTCAGCCAATGACTTGTCCTTTCCCACAATCTCCCTGGCTAATTCTTCAGACTTCAAATCATCCATGGTCTTCTCCTTGGCTTTCCCATAGTTGAGCGGGGGAGGGGAGGAACAGATATCTTTGACAGGAGGTGCAGGGTTGCTGGGTGGCTGGGGCTCTGGAGGGCGGGATCTCTGAGGGGTTTCCACCTCCTGTCGTGTATACACACAGAATCGGGAATAGCACTGCTCTGATGTGTTCAATGACTTGATCTGGTCTCTCTCCAGCCCACTGGGCAGCGTGGGCAGCTCAGTTGGGCATGCAAGACTCTGTCGGCTCTCCTTTTCAGGCTGGCTTTCTGAGTGCACAATTTTTATGGGCACCATTTTCACAGTGGTGTTGTTGTCCATCACCCGCTCGATTCTGTAAAGACAAGGACTGTCCTCTGAAATCTTGACATGTTGAGATTCCCACCCACGATTCACAAGTAATCCCAACACAAAGACCCGCTGTCAACCAGACAATAAAAAGACAAGGCAGAGGTTGGAAAGTGTCCTCATCTGACCCCTCACATGCTCTCTGGATGCCTAGCTGTCCAACTCAATCTCTGCCACATACCTACAGGCATTGGAGGAAGAGAACCTGAATGATGTGAGACCTGCTTAATATTATTTTGTTTGGGAGTAGCTGTGTTTGGAATTATTGATGAGTACCTACACCCATTGGTTCCACTCAGGAGCTTTGTCATGTGCGCTGCATCCCATGTTCCATGTGCCCTTACAAAGGGTGGCTTCAGATGTCAGAATTTGACTAGGACACCTTATCCCCAGATCCCTAACCACAATGCTGCCATTGGAAAGATGCTGAAATGATACCACATAAGAAGTAAAACACAGCTGAGGCATGCATATAAAGCTGTGGATTCAATACCATCACTGGAGACTGTGCTTGTTTTTTTATTTGTTTTGTTAATGATATACAACCTATAGTCCTCTGGGAAGGGAGAACCTCAACTGTAAAGTACATCCACAAGATTGGCCTATAAGGAAGTCTGTGGGACATTTTCTTGAGTAATGTTTGATGTGGGAGAGCCTGGCCCACTGTGGCACGTGGTCTTGGGTTATATATGAAAGCAGGCTGAGCAGGCCATGGGGAACAAGCCAGTAAGCAGTGTTCCTCCAAGGTCTCTGACTTCAGTTCCTTCTCTGACTTTATTTCAATGTGGTCTGTAAGCTGTAAAGTGAAAGAGAGCCTCTCCTCCCCAAGTCGCTTTTGGTCATGGTCCTTATCACAGTAGTAGAAACCTAACTAGGACAGAGATGTAATAACAACATCAATGATGTCCCTTCTAAAATGATTTTCTATTTTGAGAATTCCATACATGCTTATGTTTTCATCAAATGCTCCCCACAATCCTCCACTATTCCTTCCTGATTACATGTTACTTTTTGTTTTTCTTTGTCTTTTAAAACTTTTGAGTTCACTTAGTGTTGTTAGTATGTGCATGGGTGTATAGCATGGGTAGCCTCCCAGGGGCCACATCTTGAAAGAAAACTGACTCCCTTCTCTCCCAGCAGCCATTGATTGCCAATAGCTCCTCAGTAGGGAGTGGGAGTTAGTGAAGCTCTCCTCTATGTGTGCTGGGATGTGTCTAGCCTAATCTTGTGCATGCAGTCAAAGCCACTGTGAGCTCATATGTGCAGCTGCTTTGTCCTGTCTGGCAAATAGTTTCATGGTAGTCATCCACTACCTCTGCCTCTTACAACATGCTTATGTTTTCATCAAATCCTCCCCACAATCCTCCACTATTCCTTCCTTATTTCATGTTACTTTTTGTTTTGCTTTGTCTTTTAAAACTTTTGAGTTCACTTAGTGTTGTTAGTATGTGCATGGGTGTATAGCATGGGTAGCCTCTCAGGTGCCACAGTTTGAAAGAAAACTGACTCCTTCTACATCCAACAGCCATTGATTGCCAATAGCTCCTCAGTAGGGAGTGGGAGTTAGTGAAGCTCTCCTCTATGTGTGCTGGGATGTGTCTAGCCTAATCTTGTGCATGCAGTCAAAGCCACTGTGAGCTCATATGTGCAGCTGCTTTGTCCTGTCTGGCAAATAGTTTCATGGTAGTCATCCACTACCTCTGCCTCTTACAAGCTTCCCAGCCACTCTTCCACAATGATCTCTCAACTTTTGGAGAAGGTGTGATATTATGTCCCGTTTAGGGTTGAAAACTTAGAAGTTTCATATTCTCTGCAGGAGTTAATGGATATCTATGTTAATTGCCTTCTATTGTAAAAGAAGGTTCTCTGGTAAGGGTTAAGATGAACCTATGGGTATAAAGACAAGTACTTAAGGGAGGGTTTAATGCTATGTCCACTTAGCAGAATGAGATGGTTCTCTCCTAGGGTCTGTGACCTACCCAGCTATGAGTTCTTGGCACTTTAACAGTATCAGTTCCTTTTTTTTACCCGAGCAGGCCTTAATTCCAATCAGAAAGCTGTTTACTCCATAACAATCCTGTCTCTGTTGCATCAGGAGATTTTTCCAGGACATTCATTGCTATAATTCCCAGAGTTTACAGCTGGGTGAGATTGTTGATTAGTTTACTCCCCTAGCATTGTCAATAACACCTCCTAGCACTATGAAAGCTAGCCAGTGGGGATGAGGCATTTGAGTCATTACCAGCTTGTTTTCATGTTTTGTGATTCAAGTACATGGTCTCTTCAGCAACAGGATCCTACCATGAAGTTCTGAAAGGTAACCAATAGCAATTGTAATAACCTAAATGGCTGGGGTCTATGAGACCTTAATATCTAATAACCTGAAAAGAGGCAACCTACGGCACTGGGCTTTTCATCTGATTCATTCAGAAATTTAAAGGGTGGTAGGTTGAGGAACCAAGGCTATAGCTTGGTTGACAGAGTTGTTGGCTATCCCATTTTAGAATTTAGAGGCAATAGGATGAGGAGTTCAAAGACAGTTTAGTTTACATAGACTGTCTAGGCTACATAGTGAGTTCAAGACCAATCCAGGTTATACATCAAGATTTGTCTCAAAAAAAGAAAAAAGAAAAGAAGGAAGGAGGGATAAATTTAAAGAGTATGAAAATATTGGCCATTACTCAGCTTTACCTAAAGAACTTATAGTTAGGTTTAATCTGATTTTGACCACTGGCAAAACATGCTTAGTCTGCATGTGCCAAGCAATAAGGAAAATGGAAATGCATTCAATGCAGACAAAGAGGGGATCATGATGTCAATAAATTATAACTGGTCATTTGAGCTGTGACTCATTCTCCACACAATTTTTCATGACCAAATTTTACCACAGTGTTTGAAGCTGCTTCAAGGCTCCAGCAACAAACACTGGATGGTGGAATGAATATATAGCATGCTGTCATAGGAAAATACCTTGCTGAGTTGTCTTCATGGATAAGCATGGGAGGCTTGTCTGTCAGCTTCTGTGGGGCAAACTGGGGTGAAGGGGAGCGAGAGGTTTCCATTACTGATATCTGTAGTTGTTGACACTTGGAAGAGAGCTGGACTTCTGGTTGAGAGACAGTTGTAACCTCATTCACATGCTGGCCGTCTTGTGGCTGGGCACTGCTGAGCACAGAGGGGTTGTGAGAGAACAGGTGACACACACACACACACACACACACACACACACACACACACACCAAAGGACTCAGTAAATGGTGTTGGTAAGGACTTGATGGAGACAGCTAGGCAAGAGTTTGCAAGTATACTCTCTGGGCCCCAGTAGTTACTGGGCTCAAGATTAGGCAGTGAAGGCCTCTGAGTTGGGGCTACCTTCTTAGGGTGCAGGGCTCTGCTCACTGAACACAAAGTGTGCTCCTGAACAGGTAGGGGTAAAGGGGGGGCACTGGACTTGGGGTCTCAAGTCTGACAGTGTGCTCTACTCTGAATATGTATATTCTCAAAGTAGAGTCCTGGCTTGGTTCAGGCCCTCCTGAGGAGGATCTGGGTCTTCCTGGGAGTGGGATAATTCAGGCAATGTGGAATTGGCTTGTGGATTCTGATTCAGTAGGTCCTGCAATGTCCTCAAACTGACTTCCTAACACTGGGCATGTCTAGAGGAAGATGTAATAAAAATTAGGGAAAAATTCTGATTAGGATCTTCACTCTTAGATCACTTTAAGGACTATACATTTTCCAGAACCCACGCCTATTGTCACTTGTGATATGGTAAAAAAAAAATTATAACACATGCTATATATATTAGGCTATTTGTGAAACATATTCTATATGGAACATGATGCATTAATAGCACATACATATAGATCTGGTATAGACATACATGTATATACCAACAATGTTTCTTTAATTAAAAGAAATAACTTCCCGAAACGAAAAAAAAAAAATCGTGTTTTTTTGTGAAAACTGCCAGATCCAAAGATGTTTGGGACTATTTGACTCAAGTTGTAATGTTTTTACATGACATATGGGAAACACTTATATACACAGGGATAGACCTTTCTAAAATGGGCCAAGAATCAATTCAGTCATAAAAATCTTTAAAATTAGACATGACAAGTGAGGAAAACAACAACTGCTTATTTTGGAAGCAGCTATGATTTACAGGGTTTCTCCTTACACCATCATTTTACATGAATATATATATATATATATATATATGCATGCCCATGACATCCATATAGAAGCTGGTCTGGATATAAGATAATTCATGCCAAAAGCCTATGGGCTGACTAGCAAACTTGCAACAATTCAGTGTGTAGTACTCCTGGCAACATACCATACCAAACTGATCCCAAGGAGAAAACAAACCTTTGATTTATGAAAAAGAGCACTTCTCAGTCTAAAATTGACTTTTGAGCTGGGCATTGTACTTCATGTAATCCTAGTATTTGGGAGGCCAAAGTAGAAGGATTGAATCTAGTGAAATCCAGAAGGAGCTACAAAGGGAGTGGGCTACAATCAGTTGACTTTTGAGGAATACAGTATATAGCTCAGTAGCAGGACACTTACCTAATATGTGCAAGACCCTAAGTTTGATCCATAGGTTGGGGGAGCACACTATCAAGAAAATATTGCGACTGACCCAAAGCAGGACAGCATGTATAAGTAGCAATGAAATGACATAACCTAATTACTGATAAGAAGAATGCAGACCCATCCCTATTTCATATCCAGAGGAGATGCACTTGCTTCTGTCTCTTGTTACAACCTAAACATGATGCATAATATCTGGGTGCTACAGGTGGGGTCTGCAGGACTATCATGCCAGTGCCCTGCCTTGTGGATGCTAGCCTGGCTGTGTTCTGAGAAGCAGAGAGGGGAAGGCCCCTTCCTTGATTAATAGATACTCCAAAGTAGAACAGAGTCCACAGCCAATGTCCCCCTGATACCCTACATCCTCCCAAACAGAGGGAGTCAAACAACACCAGCATGGAGCTAGAAACTGACATCCTAATGACACAGCAGAAGGAAAGACTCATTAAGGAAAATTATTGCCTCTTGCAGAGAAGATGAAATCCCTAGCCTGTACAGATATTTAACATTTCTGGACTGGTTATTGACCT